TTGAAAATATCATGAATCAATGTATGTACCAGAAGATTAGTAAAAGCAATTTTTTTCTAATTATATATGTAGATGATATTTTACTTGCAACTAATGATAAAGCCTTATTACGTGAGGTGAAACAAAAGGATTTGGGTGATTCCTCTTATATTAATGGCATTAAAATGCAAAGAGATAGACTTCAAAGTGTTTTAAGTTTATCTCAGGAGACCTATATCAATAAAATTTTGGAGAGCTTTAACATGAAAGATTGTTCACCAAACGTAGCTCCCATTGTTAAAAGAGATAGATTCAATTTGAGTCAATGACCAAAAAATGATTTTGAAAGGGATAAGATGAGAAATATTTCATATACTTCAATTATTAGTAGCCTAATGTATGCGCAGGTTTGCACAAGACCTGACATAGCATTTGTGGTAGGGATGTTAAGGAGATATCAGAGTACGTAATCCAGACATATATCACTAGAGAACTGCAAAGAAAGTGTTAAAGTATCTCCAATGTATAAAATATTACATACTTATGCATAGATAGTTTGATAGTTTGAAATTGACTGGCTATTCAGGTTCTGACTTTGTTTGATGTGTTGATTCTCTAAAATCAACTTCTGGGTATATATTTATGTTTGTTGGTGGAGCTGCATCTTGGAGGAGTGTCAAGCAGACTTTGACTGCTACTTCCACTATAGAGGTCGAGTTTGTGTCTTATTTTGAGGCCACATTGCAAGGCGTGTGATTGAAGAGTTTTATTTTTGGGCTTAGACTTATAGATTCAATATCTAGGCCATTTAAGATATATTGTGATAATTTAGCTACATTGTTTTTTACTAATAACAACAAAAACAGTAGTTGAAACAATCATATTGACATTAAGTACTTAGTCATAAAATAAAATGTTAAGGAGAATATAGTGGTTATTAAACACATAAACACTGAATTGATGATAGAGGATCCTTTAACTAAAAGCATACCACCACAAAAATTTAAGGATCATGTGGATCATATGAGTCTTGGTTACTTTAGTTAATTTCATTGTAAAATGAATATAGTTATGACGTTTTTCATGTTTTAGTTATTTATGTGTGCACATTTATATAATGATAAATATCTTTAAGTTGGAACTATAATAAACATAAGGTTTATTCAATAAGTTAAATAAATAAATATATAGGAGACAATCATCTGGATGCAATAATACTTGCACTTAGAGAACCTATCACCATGACTCATGATTTTTATTTCTTATTTTATTTGTGATGAAATATTTGGACCAAGTGGAAGATTGTTAAAATAATCATCATTAATGGTCCAAATTTCTTGACTGTTTTTAGTTTAACTCAACATTCAAAATGATAGTTACTCAGTTTTAATTTCAAAAATTAAAACTAACCGTTTCTTAATTTTAAATTCAACTTTTGAAGCTGAAATTTCATTTATTGCTATGATGAGTAGCAATTAATTCTAAATTTTTATATATTTTGGGACCCTAATCTTTTCTCTCTAATCACTTCTAAGAATAAACATACACCATCATTTTGGGAGAGAAGAAGTTTAGAAGATTTCAAAATTAGTGAAGAACACGATCAAATATCAATGGCCAGAGGTATGCATGTAAATATGTTTATAATTTAGTTTCCGTATTTTGTATAGTCAATTCTATATTTTATAAATTTATATCAAACCATAATGTTGCTAAGTTTAAGAAAATTTTATAGAATCAACATAAAGTTTTCTAATATATATATATATATCCCAATAATTTCCTCCAAACAAAATATGAATTCAAATATATTTTATATCAATTTTGAGGGTCCCAATTTTCAATATTAACTCTTGTCATCAACACCAATCCCGGTCTTCATCATCAACCACAAAATTGACATCCATCATCTCCAACATCATTGTCCACCACCACAAACAAAATCATTGGCGCCCACCATTGATTCTATTGTAAATTTATACCACCATTACAAATGCTAATACTTGTTGTTGCCACCATCATTGATGATCATAACCTCTACCAAAGTTAATTAATACATATCTTCTGGATTAATATATCCCTTTTAATAGGAAGAAGAACGAGTAGACTGCTAATTATCTCTCAATCACAAAGTTAACACCAAATGACCCGTATTACTTTTGAGCATAACAGAAGTTATCTATAATTAATGTCCACCAAATTAGAACAGTGCCACTCACAGTAGTAGAATATATAATCCATGGTTCTCAGCTTTTTAAAATTTTTGCGTAAAAAATTTCATGTATCATATTTAATGCTCCTAATAAAATAAATTATGATAAATATATAAATATATTAAATTAATTTAAAATTAAGTTCTCACTTCATATTAGACTTTTAAAATGGTATATATTCTTTAATTTTTATTTAAAATTATTTAAATTTTAACATTTTATTAATTATTATAATAAATCAATAGTAATTAGAAGTTAATTTAAATTTAACTAATTATTTTAGTAATAATATAATATAATATTGATACGACATAAAAAAATTATCTTGAGCGGGCACAAATATCGATGCAAAATCAAGTCGGAAACTTCCAAAATTAAAATTGGGACCATCTGAACTCCGATTTTAACAAACTTATAGTCGAATTGAACGTCTCGGAAATACGAACCCAACGACACCAAATTTGACTCAATCCGATCCCAAATGGGTCCAAATCAAGGGTCTGATGCGCTGTTGGAGGGTTTGAACCACAATTTGGTTTACCAAACGGTTTCCAAACATGACGTTCTTATAGTCGAATAGAGCGGCTCAACAAGACAAATCCAATGAGCTCAAGATCACTGAATTCTGACATCACTAAGACATTTAAATGTCCATCAAATGGTCCATGATCAAGGGATTCAACATCGACCGTCCATCCAACCACTCCCCATTTATCCTTGATCTCTCACATATTTACGGGTAATGCCACTCCAGAAATGTATAAATAGACCCCTCATTTCTCTTGAAAGGGGGACCAGAGCAAGAAGAGAAGAAGGAAGAAGAGAATGAAGAGAAGGAAGAAGCTTATGACAACGACTTGAGACCCTCACCTCCGCCGGACCACCGTCTGACGTCGTTGCTCCATCAGACCACCACTTGAGGCCCTCACCTCCGCAGAACCACTGCCTGACATCATTTCTCCGCCGGACCACCACTTGAGGCTCTCACCTCCGCCGAACTACCTCCTGACATCGTTGCTCCATCCGACCACCGCCTGACGTCGTTGCTTTTTCGTACCATCACTTAAGGCCTTGAGCTTCGTCAAACCACCACTTGAGACCCTCACCTCCGCCGGACCACCGCCTGACGTCATTGCTCCGCCGGACCACCACTTAAGGACCTGAGCTCCACCGGACCACCACTTGAGGCCCTCACCTCCGCCGGACAACCGCCTGACATCGTTGCTCCGCCATACCACGACTCGAGACCCTCACCACCACCAGACCACCACTTAAGGGTCTGAGCTCTGCCGAACCACCACTTGAGGGACTCAAGCTCCGCCAGACCACTGTCTGACGTCGTTGCTCTGCCGGACCACCGCCTAAGCCCCAAACTTCTACCGTACCACAACTTAAGGCTCGAACTTGTGTTGGACCATCACCTGAGGCCTGCACTTTTGCCAGACAACCACTTGATGCCCAGACTTCTGCCATACCACCAACTGAGGCCCAGACTTCCGCCGGATAACCACTTGATGCTCGAACTTCTGCTGGACCACCGCTTGAGGCCCGGACTTCTCATAGATGACCACGTGATGTTCGAACTTCTGCTATACCACCACATGAATCATGGACTTCTGCCATACCACCACGTGAAGCCGAAACTTATGTCGGACCACCGCTTGATGCCTGGAGTTCTACCGAAGTACCACCCTACTACTATGGTCTTTTAGACCCCAGTCTCCTACCAACTATGATCTTTTAGACTCCTATCTCAACTACGGGCCTTCTAACCTCCGTCACCTACTATGGTCATTCTGACCTCCATCACCAGACAACGGTCTTTCAGACCCCAGTCTCCTGTCAACTACGATCTTTCAGACTCCTGTCTCCTATCGACTACGGTCTCTCTGACATCTGTCGCCTACTATGATCATTCTGACCTCCATCACCAAACAATAGTCTTTCAGATCCTGGTCTCTAGTCAACTACGATCTTTCAGACTCCTGTCTCCTGTCGAATATGGTCCTTCTGACTTCTATCGCCTACTATGGTCATTCTGACCTCCATCATCAGACAACGATCTTTCAGACCCCGATCTTCTGCCAACTACGATCTTTCGGACTCCTGTCTCCTGCTAAGTACGGTCCTTCCGACCGCTGTCTCCTACTATGGTCATTCCGTCCTCCATCACCTGATAATGGTCTTTTAGACCCCGTTCTCCTGCAAACTATGGACTTTCGAATTCTTGTTTGCTGTCGACTACAGTCCTTCCAACCCCATCGCCTAATATGGTTGTTCCGACCTCCATCACAAGACAACAGTGTTTCGGACCCCAGTCTCCTGCCAACTACGATATTTCCGACATCTATATTATCAACATGTAATGCGCTCTATATGATGTACATTTGTACCATCAAGCCAAGGCCATCTCCCTAAGAAGGGCCTCATTTGTAATCGATTGCAAATACTAGTGGATTCTTTCAAACTTGGCCAGGCCTCGTGATTTTTCTTCATTTTCAGGAGTTTCCACGTAAAAACTCGATCTAGTGTCTCTTATGAACGGTATAACCTCTCTCTTATCTGATTGTGGGATGGATCTTCGTACAATGCTAAGACATTAAACTATATATTTCTCTACCACCGCGAATATTCCATTACACAACAAATATAATAATTAGACTTTTACAAATTAATTGGATGAATATGTCACCATTTTCATATAATTTAGAATTTTTAAACATTTTCAAAATGAAAAGAAAAAAAATCTAAATCAAGCTTCTATATTATTTGAACATTTAAAATAACAAAAAAGGAACAGAACTATTGAAAATAAAATAAATAAATAAATAAAACATGATTACATATATATAATTATTGAATTCTTAAAATTGTATAACATTATACAATTTTAGGCTCACGGTCTTTAACTCGCTACCTTCATTACCTAGCTCGGCATTCCTCCTGTCATGCATAGAACAGATATTCAACAAACGTTGATAATTAACAAAAAACCATAATTAATAGCTAATTATTCCTACAAAAACCACCTTGGATTCAATAAAGCTGATACGGCATCCTATTACCAGACATCCGATCCAAGCTTACTCAAGCTCAGGGTCATTACTTCCTTGCCTCCACTGTCACTTTAAGCCCATTCCTCATGTAAAGCGTCGTTGTCATCCTCGGCACCACCTTCTGTCCTTCCTCTACCTTAACCTTATACCTATACAGCATTGCCGCCGCTACCATCTTCATCTGCATGTACGCAAACTTCTTCCCCACGCACAGCCTTGGCCCCGCGTTGAAGACCGTGTACTTAAACGGATTCTCCCCCGTAAAAACTCCCTCCTTTATCCACCTCTCCGGCCTGAACTCCATACAATCCTTCCCCCATATCCCTTCCATTCTCCCCATGGAGTATATCAAGTATATAATCCTTCCCCCTTTCCTTACCCTCGTCCCGTCAGGCAGCACGTCGTCCTCCATGGCCTCCTTGAAGTCCAACGGTACCGACGGGTACAGCCTCAGCGACTCCGTCAGCGCTGCCTGTAGATATTCCATCTTCTTCACCTCATCCACAGTAAACACCACGTCGTCATAGCCATCAGCAGCTGAATCGACCTCTCTTTTCTTTACTATCTCTGATATCTCGGCGAGAATTCGACGCTCCACGCGCGGGTGCTTATGAAGTAACCAAAAGAACCACGCAAGCGCTACCGAGCTTGTGTCTCTCCCCGCCAGTATGAAGCTGATAATAAAGTCCTTTAGAAACTTGTCGGAAAGTCGTCGCTCGCCACTCATTAGCCTTGACAGCAGGTCCGACTGCTCATTCAAGCTTAGATCTGCCCTGCGATCCCTCACCGTCTTCTCCGCAAACTCATGAACCGCACGGATGGCAAACCTGAGCCGCCTCTCTGTTCCAACGTCCAACAACTTCATTGTCTTCCAAACAACCGGCGGCACAAGGAACCGAAAAAGGGTAAACTGCGTGGCCTCTTCGAACGCCCTCGCGAACGGAACTTCAGGGAGGTCGGCCGCGAGGCAACCAGGGTCAATCCCGAACGCCGCGGTGCATATATTATCAAATGTCAACCGCAGAAACACGTCTTGGAGATCGACGATGGCGGAGCTTCCAGCGAGCCGGCGGAGGAGTGGGAGTAGCTTTTGGCGCACAAGTTCACGAATGGTATCGGCGGAGTATTCGACGTAGCGCGAGGAGTGCATCTCGGCGGTCGCGGCTCTGCGCTGGTCTCGCCACGCGGCGTCATCGGCGTTGAAAATGCCATCGCCTAGGAAATCCACGAAGCGCTCTCGGTAGTAGCGGCCTTTAGGAAAGTTCGAAAAGTTTGTCTTGAGAATATACTCAACGTTGGACGGGTCGGCGGTGACGACACCGTATAAACGGCCGAACCAGACACCACGGTAGGGGAAGGTACCGCCTGCACGAGCGGCGGATTCGGTGGCCCAGTCATAAACACGGTGGATGTGGATTACGAAAGACGGCAAGTTGCCGAGGACTGGCCAAATCATGGGGCCCTTGGCGGTCACCCACTGCACGGCAGCGCTTGAGAGAAAGAGGAGGAGCAAGCCGACGCCGACGTCGGCAAGCTGGAGATGAAAGAGGAGAGAGGAGATCAGCGCCGCCAGTGCCATGCGTAGATTGGAATTGGAGTAGAGAGTTGGTGGCTTCAAAGTTTACCATTTGAGCTGGTCTTTTATATATAGTCAAATAATACTCAAATTCAGTGTAGGAGAAACAAAAGAGGCAATTACGAATGAGCTACTACCTTGACTTCATAATTAATTTGGGAGATAATCTTAATGAGCTGAACAACTGGAAGCTAGGTGGCGAGTGAAGTAATGGAGTTTAATGATTAGATATCCAGCACTGTTAAACTGTTACATGAAAAGCTGGGGAGGCCAGAGAAGAGGTGATGGGTGAGATGTAGCTTTCATTTTGTTGGAAATTATTTTAGTAACAATAAATTGCGGGTTCAGGGAGACAAGCCAGTTTGGCCATCAAACTCCTCTGGGACATGTTGGACGGGGCGTAGTAGCTTTATCTTAACCTTGCCGACGATGAACGAGTACTTCTATGGTCACGTGGAAGGTTTCGTTTCGATATATGTGCCAATGGTCGTTTTTTATGACTAAGGTGGTTGTGACGGTAATTGTGTCTATAAGATAAATAGTTTATTTACCATACTCTTCGTTACTACTTATTAATTATTATTGTGAGGCTCTCAAATAAAAAAACAATTCAATCTTTTAGGCTTATTCAAATAATATTAAATATTTTAAATATATTATATGACTATTGTAAAAATGCATTATTTGGATGAGTATAAAATAAAAAAAAAGAAGATTATTATTTATTATTTTTATTGAAATAAAATGAATGCAATATAAAATTAAAAAAAAAAAGTTGATGGACGACAATGACAATGGTGGCTGATAATAGTAGTTCACAATGCCTTACAAATGTAGTTGGCGGTAGTGGGGCCCTAGAGATGACGGTAAGCAGTTGTGGTGGCGATCAGCGGCGACGAGATAGCAATGGGCGATAGTGTAAGTGGTGACAAACGACAATAATGATGATAATTTTATACTATATTTATTTTATTTCAAACCAAATATTAATAATCTCCAAAATCTTATATTTAAAAAACTTCAAGCCAAACGTTTACATGCTCAAAACACCGAAATTTTACACCCATTTTCTAAATAGCTCCCCATTTTTTTTTCAATAAATCACAAACAGCCCCTTAATGGTGTAAATTCATCATTTTTATGAACTTCTTTTGCTCTTCAAGGTCATTATGGGTTAACAAGTTTCATACTTCATGAATTAAATTTGCTTTATTATTCAATTGCAAATTGTGATTTTTAATCCAATAGCTATCCTAATTTTTATACTCCTGATTTCTTAGCACCCAGTTCTGATGCAGCGATTAAAAAAAAAAAAAAATTTTTTTTTTAACAAAGGCTTAATAATTGGTTGTTAAATCCATTTAATATGCTAGCTAGTTATGGTTGGAGCCTTGGGGCTCGGTCATTGTTTTCAAGACATTTATGGCGCCACCGAAAGAAGCAAATTATTTGAAGATGGCGAAGATGTAAATTCATTGAATAGCAGCGAAAACTGGAGGGAAATCTTCCGTGTCCACTATTAATTGGGCGTGCGTTTGAAAATCTATTTCTCTCTCCTGTTGGTCAAGATTCATAGTACGACTACGACGTTGGAGAATGTATGTATGATGATTGATCACAATAATTACTATTATGAGCTAGAATATTTGTGATAGTAGAGAGAAATTTTTTTATCTTCTCGTTGCACAGATATTCAACACACAATTGAATAAATTAAAATACTAAAATTTTTACGTGAAAATCTCTAAAAAACAAAAAAGATATGCTTGAAGAACTTGAGGCTGATAAATCTAAAGTAGAAATTAGCACATGGTTGCATGGCGGGGAACTTTTGAAAGTAATAAACATGGGAATCAATTGTGAAAGTAGTAGATGTAACAACTACATTACGATATTATGGAGGCTTAAAAGCACGTTTTTGTGATTGAAACTACAAAATCAATAGAGAGAAGAAGACTGCAATGAAGAATATTATCAAACGTTTGTTTCGAAGTCACGGGGAAATTATTGGTTGATGAGAGTTAAGTTATTGAAATACTCAATTGCCTAAATTATTAAATAAAGTTTAACAAAAATATCAGTAGTCTCAATCACAATAACGTGCTTATAAGCCTCCATAATATCATCATAATGTGTATGTTACATCTACTACTTCCATATTTGATTCCCATATTTATTACTTTCAAAAGTTCCCCACCATGCAACCATGTGCTAATGTCTACTTTACATTTGTTAGCCTCAAATTCTTCAAGCATATCTCCTATTTGGTTATTTGGCTCTTCATAATTACAATGGTTTAGAAAATAGATTGGACTTCGTGTGATGGTCATCGAGCTGAAGTTTGGCGATATCAGTGGGTAGATGAAAGTCCAGAGATAGCTGGGGGTTAGGTATATAGAAGTCTACCGACCGTCCACGATAGGGGAAATAGCCAAAGACAGTCGGTGGCCGAGTAAAAGTCCGACTACAATCGGTGGTCAAGGAGGAGCGTGATGTCAAGAGAGATCAAATTAATTTCTCTTATTTCTTCCTCTTCTCCCCACTGTGAGAAATAAGGGGTATATTTATAATTTTTTGTGAGTGGCATAGCTAGTAAATATGGAAATGATCAAGGCCAACTTAAGAGTGTTATGATGGATGGTTACTCCAACCATTATTGATAATTTATTGAGCATTTAAGTGCCTTAAAGATGTTAGAATTCGATAAACTTGGGCTCGTTGGATTCTTCTCATCGAGCTGATTGATTAGACTATAAACATGTTATATTTGGATATCATTTGATCATCCAATTTTTGTTTTGAAGCTTAAATATACTTCGGGCCCTAAATTTGGATCCATTTGGATTTGGATTGGATTGATTTTGGTGTCTTTGAATTTGTCTTTTCAATACAATAAATTCGACTATAGGTTTGCTGAAATCGGAGTTAGAATGACTTCAAATTTAATTTCAGAAGTTTCCAATGAGAATTTGCGTTGAAGATAAAACAAACCAATGCACTGAATCCATTTGGCATTAAAACACATGCAGTAAATTACCCCGGCATATTTTCCCATGCAAAGCAGCAAATGGTGGAGCCTTCGCCACCTGTTAGCCATGCAAGCAAGAACCAATACGGGTAATCTTTAATTCGGGTGGTTTGGTTTTTTTTTTGAAAGGAGGCCGGAAACCTCGTCCAGGCTTCCATTGCAGGCTGCTCCCTATATGATGGAAGCTGCTTGAGGCCACTTACATTCGCTGAAAATTATTAGGTCCAGACACCGTATGTTTGGACATCCATTAAAAAATCTAGCATGTGGAGTACATTTTAGTTGTATTTTTTTGGGTGTTTTATTTGTGCTTTAACTGTATTTTTTTACTATGCTTTGACTGTATTTTACCTGCGCTTTACTTGCGTTTTAGTTATGCTTTTGATGCTCTTGGCTTAAAGTTCTTCGAACACATTAAACATATTGAATATCTGCGTGTCTACTTCACATGTTAACATTTTATTGACCTTCAAACCTATCTCTACGTCAGATATTCGGACCTGATAATTTTCCTATCTCTACATCCACCACCCCTGGCTCGCGAAGCTTTGCCTCTCTCCAAATTTTATGCCCTTTTAGAGCCCATAGGTCGCTATAAAAGGCTAGATATTGGCATTTAATTATCTTAGACTTTCTTGGGATATATTTTTACTGCATTCTAAAATAGTTTTCTAGTAAAAACTTTTAAGGTAAAAATTTTTTTGCTTAAAATTTTTTTTTGAAAACAATAAAAAAGTTATCCCATGAAATCCTTAGAGAGCCGTTAGGATAGGAAATATCATATACTCGCGAGGGCATGACGCCGCCAACTGCCACCGCCGGAGTCAATCCAGTGAACGGAAAGCTTCCCTTCGGCAAGACTCACTACATGGCCTCCAGGCCTCATCCTCCGCCACCTTCGCACGCTTCCCTGCTCTGCGGTGTCCCGCGGGCCGCAGCGTCTGTCTGCTATGTTGACCAAGAGAGATAATGAAGCGGTGACCGTCAGATCTTGTTTATAAGATCCTACGGTACAGATTTCTTTAGAGAGAAGAAAATCCTATTCACCAACCAGCCAGTAGGCATTAGGAAGACGTTAGTGTTTCTCTTAGGATTATAATTCGACCTTTGATCTTTTAAACTCAAAATTTTAATCATATCTTTATCCATTTAAAAATGTCTAATCATCACTAAGGGTAAATAGAAGAGACTCTTTGGAATAGAACTTAGGAACTTTTTCTGTGCACCAAATCAAGAAGTAAATAATACACCGTCCTTAATCGAGAGTTTTCTTAGATCGAGGTCTAAGATGTAATTAACTACGGGGGCTTGCGCCCGTAGGAAACCGATCCCCACAATCAAATAAACCCCATTCGAGCTGATGTATCGAATGGCGGAAATCTCGTGAACTTTTGGGTTATGTATATTATTATCCATCGAGGTTGGTAGGTGAAAGCCGCTATCCTCCATGGCTAATCGTATACATAACTCCATCTGCTCTTCCATTGGCCTGCTTGTGTCGGGTGTAAAGGTCTACGACCATTTTGTCCTACGGGATAGTGTGATCGTGCTCTTTGCATTCGAACCACACGAGCGGAATCCTTTCGGAGACCCACACCTACGAATACTCTCAATTAAAATAATGATATAAATTTTATTTTGAATTTTCAAGGAGTGATATTAAATGAGTGAAGTTAAAATTTCAACTTGATTTGGACTAAATTTGAGCATTTATTTGAACATAACAATAGTAATCATTGTTGATTTTGATTTTTCCAAAGAGAATAAGTCTTTAAATATCCTACAAAGGGAAGTACTTGTAGTTAATTGCATCGTATGAATCTTGAGTTTCCTACGAATACTCTCATTTAAAATAATGATATAAATTTTATTTTGATTTTTCAAAGAGTGATGTTAAATGAGTGAAGTTAAAATTTCAACTAGATTTGGACTAAATTTGAGTACTTATTTTGGAAGTAAGAAGATGAAAGTTAGGATGTGTTTTGGGATTTTGAAACACTTCAGAGACACCTCTATCTATCATATGTGTTGGAATTTAAATTTTAGTTTTTGAGAGAAAAATTACTTTGAGTTATCATTTTCTTAGAAAGTTAGGATTACATTTCCAAAGTTGGGGTCTTATGATTTTAGGTCCACTTCAGATCCTAAGTCTATTTTGGCGCCAAACAGTTGTGACTCGAAC